AGATCCATAGCCTCCATGAGGAATTCACCTGGATTGGGAGTGTGTGATTAGTAGACACTCTCGAAGGGACAGGGAAGGGAAAGATGAAAAGAGGATGTACGTAGCCGCAGCTTGGGCGTAGCGGCAGCTTGGGTACCGTGGGCGACTCAATCGACCGACCAACCAATCCCACCCGATCAACCAACCCAACTCAATCCACCAACCCAACTTAATCCACCAACCAAACTCAATCCACTCAGCCGACTGACCAACCAACCAAACCCCAGTCGACCAACCAGCCCCACCCAATCAAAACAACCTAACCCTCACTCACCCCCACCAAACAACATGCTCAAATGGTACGTCGCCTCAAACTGGCCACCCAGGTCCGCCAGGTGACCCGTCGCTGGATCCCAGTTCACCGCGGCAGTGTAGCCGGACCAGAGCCCATAGGGCATTTGGCCGATGTCGTGCTACGAGGGGTGATGTGAGCGTTGGTCGGGTGAGATGGGATGAGGGAGTGGATGGAACGAGGTTCGCGGGTATCGAATAAATAGGGGAGAAGGATTGAAGAGGTTGGGAAGGCGGAGCAATAAAAGTTGTATGCCGCAACAGGAACGTCGCGCTAGTCCCGGAGGGACGCGACGCTAGTTTGGGAGAGACGCCGCGCCAGTCTAGGAGAGACGCTGCGCTACCCTACCATGACCATCGCGCTTCTTCGTCCAGACGAGACGTCACCCCACTCCAAACAAACAACCAAACACCCAAACATCCCACTCACCATCCCCGTCTTAATCCTCTCCAAATAATACGCATCGTTCCCGCGCTCCCACGCGCACCACCAGTTCCCCGCCAGCGCCGTCCAGTCGGGGCCGATGCGCACCCGCCCCGGGCCCGGGTCCGGCGCGTCCAGGATCTTTCGGAGCGGCTCCCACGTCACGATCGACTCGTCGGCTTGGAGGGCGGCAGTCATGTGGTCGCCGGTGAGTTCGTCGGCTGGGGGGAGGGGGTGGTTAGTATGGTCGTATCGTTATTGTTGGTTATGTGGGTAGGGGTGGATAGAGGTATAGGCGATGGAGGGATGAAAAGGTCATGACTCGTATCCTCTACCACCAGTCGAGAGGTGAATGAGTCGTTCAACAAAGGAGGTGGACTCACTCGTCAAGTAGTAGAACGGGCGCTTCAGCCACGCAGACCCCACACGCGCCTCTGTCTCGCCGTCAGCATTTCTGAATCGCTCTGGAACAAAGAGAACCTCATACCCTTCGCTCCATCCCCCCAATGGCTCACATTGTGCCGACTGCCGAGCCCGGCAAACGTGCCCGTGTGGTGAAAGTCCGTCTCCGCCAAATGCCGCGTCAGCGCCCTCGCCTTGTGGAACACATCCGCGCGCCCCGTGCGCATGAAGGAGAGCCAGAGCCAGAGGTCGGTACCGAGCTCGCCGTTATCCCACGCGTACCCGCCGATATCGTATCGCCACGCGTGCCGTATCTCGTCGTAGGTGTGCATGACGTCGCCTACAGAAGGAGAGGGGAGTTAGCGAAGCGTCCAGGTGTAGCGTAGGCGAAGCATCCAAGTGGATCCTTAGCAGACGTAGGAGGTGGACCACGAAGAGTACGCCGGCAAGGGCAGCGCGCATGCCAAGAGGGACAGCACAGATGCACGGAGACAAGAGACAAAGCGAACAACCTGGACAGCACACAGGCGAAGAAATTGAACATCTCCCTTCCGCCACATCCACTCACCATAATCCCAAAACCCATACCACCTCCTCTGCTCCACCTCGTTCACGTAGAAATCCAGGAGCGCGTCCTTCCGCGCCTCGAGGTCGGGCGCAGTAGTCGTATTCGGCGGAGCCCATCTGCCACCAAACAATCGATGCGCGGCATAAAACTCGGGGTCGGCCGCGAGTTGGGGCTGGGCGGACTGTGAGAGGAAACGCGTCAGCGAGCGTGGGGACGAGAGCGTCAGTGATTGTGGGGACGAGAGCGTTGGCGTATGTTAGGACGAGAGCGTTTGCGTATGTTAAATTGAGGGACAGCACGCGTGTTGAAACGAGCCTAGAGATAGAGGCAGAATCCGATTGACGAGCAGAATCCAATTGACGAGCAGAATCCAATTGACGAGCAGAATCCGACTGACGAGCAGACGCCGATTGATAAGAGCCTACAAGGAAGAGCAGCCAACTCACCCAATCTCCTCCATAGGCCGCCACCTCATCGCGCCCCGGTGTACTTCCCCACGCCTCGATCACGACCTCGTAACTCCTCCCAACACCCGTCGGGTTCGGGTCCGGGTCGCCCACGTCCTCGTAGGCAAGGTCGAGCTGGTAGGCGATGCCAGCAGCAAGGAAGCAAAGAGGCAATTAGAAAAGGAGTAGACATAGCATAAAACCTCTCACCCCATGCGCCACCGTATCATAATGCCGCATATCCATCGCCGCCGCGCGCGGACTCCACGCCCACAGACTAACTTGCGCCGCGTCCCCATTGGCACCCCTCACATCCACCCCCCTCGGGTACCCCTCCCAGAAATCGCGCATAGCGAACAGGGTGCCGCCCGCAGTGGCCCCGCCGACGAAGCCGACGCCGGAGGCGCGAGACCTGAGAAAACCCATTAGAGGAGGGAAAAAAACATCAGAGGAGGGGAAGAAAAAAAAAGCGGAAACGGCTAAGAGTGGAGAATCGAAGACTCACCCCCGCCCAGCCCGCAACCACGCCGCGTCCCGCCCGCCCGTGCTCCGCTTGTCGATCGTGAACGCGTCCGGGGACAGCTGATCTACCCGCCAATCTGCCCACACCGGTAGCGTGTCGAGGGAGCCGGAGACCGTTGTGGGCCAGGTGCTTGTATCTGGAGTCGGTCGGCCGTTGAACTGCGCATCGAGCACGTCCGCGCCCGCGTCGCGCCTGAGGCCCGAGAGGCCGCGGACCTGATGAAAGTGGTTAGTGGCTTGAATGATGGACATGGGATGAGGGAAATTATGGGTGGTGGTTTTAACCGAGTTTCGCACATTTACTTGTGCTGCTTCATAGGGGAAGGAAGTACGGGAGGACGGAAAAGCAGAGTGGGGAAGGGATATGGGAGGACGGGAAAGGGTAAGGGAGGACGGGAAAGGAGGACGGGAGGACGGGAAGGGATATAGCAAAGCAAAGCAGGCCTACGGAAAAGAAAAGCAGGTCTTCGGAAATTTTGAGAAGACCACTGCACGTACCGACTCCCCGAAAACCCCGCCGTCCGTACCCGCCACGCGCACGTGCCGGTCGTACAACTGGTCCGAGAGAGGGGTGGTGTATGTGAGGCCCTGCAGACCGGGTCGTCAGTATGGATTACCGAAGGGGAAAGGATGGCGAGGTGAGCGGTAGGGAGTGGGAAATATGAAGCCCAAGCAGGAAGATTTTGTTATAGCGAGAAGACGATGTTATGTCAAAAACCACTCACAATACCCCGCACGAAATCCTTGTTCTTATCCCCGTCCCAGACGAAGAAGTGAACGAGGCGCAGTGCAGTGGATCCCGCGGTGACGTAGGCGCGCAGGGTGAAGGGGAAGGTGGCGGTACTTGTAGTGTGGTCGTTGAGCCCGCGGCAGGCTGGTAGGTGCCGGTGAACTACGAGAATGTTAGCGCGAGGCTCGGGAGGTGGGTGTATGCGTGCATATATGCGCATATACCGAGTCACTCACCTTGACCACGACCCTCACCGGGCCCTCCTGCTCGACAACGGCGCTGTCAATGTTTCCCTCCAGTGCCGCCACGGTCGGCTTTGGGCCAGTTAACTCGTCCTCGTCCGGGCCGTCTTGGAGGTGAAAGATGAGTTTGCCGTTCGTGGCTTTGGCAGACCCATCGAGAGTGAGCGCGCGGACGGGCGTGGTGCCGCTAGTGGCGAGCGTCGCGGTAAAGGTGCCCGTGCTGATGGTAATGGTGTCGCTGTCTTGCGTGACGCTGACGGGATTGGCCGGCTCGGGCGGGGTGCCGAGGGCGACGGTGAGGCTTGTAGGCGCAGCGTCGGCGGGGAGAGCATGACCGGTCCATTTGAGGGATCCGTCTGGCCAGCTGGGACGTGTTAGACAAGAGTAGATGGTAGGGAAAGCAGGACGCACTAGGCCATGGGCCATGTCTGCAGGGGGACCTGGGTGCCGTCCGCGTCCGCGGCGAGCGCGGTCGTCTTGTCAATCTCGCCCTGCGCCCAGGGGAGGCCAAACGCGGCGCCGGTGGGTGTGCGCGAGGGCGGGGTGTCACCCAACCAGTGCAGGCTGACAGGGTCGGACGCGCGGGGCTTGGGCATGCTGTTCTTCGCGTCGATCACGGACATGGCGCACTTAGAAGCCCTTCCCTCGCGCCATGGCCTGCTTTATGTACTAGCAGAATGAGGTGATTGCGGGCGGGCCGTGCTGGGGTCATGAGGAAGGCACGGTTGCGTGTGGAAGCAGCGATGTCGCCATGAGAAAGTACAATTCGCGCCCCGCCGTCCGTCCGTCCGAGCCGCCACCGTCGTCCAGTCCTTTGTCCATGCGCCGGCTACGCATCATGGTGCGCGAGCGCCTGTCGTAGTCGAGTAGATGAGGGAGGGAAGAGAGTCGCGCATCCGAATAGGCGCCCGGTGACGCGCCTCAGGCCTGACCGAGATCGGGGCGTGGACGGTCCCGTGATCCCTCCGGACCGCCACCGCCGTCAGTCAACGTCACGGTTCAACTTCAATACGTTCAACCGCCGCCATCATGCGCATTGTTGGCTCCTTCAGCTCGCGTTTGCACCCTCAATTGACGCCGTCCTTGGGAACAGGTATATCCTCCGCGTCGCCCCGGCCATTATCCTCCCGGTGCTCTTGCATTCTCCATTTGCTCGGCCCTGTTCCATGGCTCTCGACAAGATGTACCTCATCACCCCTTCCTCGTCGCTTGCCTCTTCCAGTCCCTGCCTCTCCTTGCGCTCCTCCGTGCTCCCCTTACGTTGTTTCTCTCCCTGCGCAATCCTCCCATCATCTTTCTCTCCTGGCTCGCATTATGCCTCGGGTTGAACCCTTCAGCATTAATGGGGTAGTGGTAACCTGTGTCGTTGCCATGGGAATCGTACCCAGTGTTTTCGACCCGCCGGGGGTTCGATTCCCCCTTAATGCACATCTGTGATTCAACCCGTTTTTTTCTTTGCTTGATTCGCAGCAGTGATCACTGGTGACCATTTGTCGAGCGCGCTAGCGCTCATGACATCCGTCCAGCTCGTGTATCGCTTAATGCAGCAGCCTGGCACAGGCTCCAAGCAGATCACGAAAAGTACAAGCGAGTACATCAGAATTCAACCAGTCGGAAGCTACAAACAAGGCCTCCCGACGTTCGATCAAGTCCGTCACTTCCAACTGTAAGTGATTACGATGCCGAACAAGAGCGAAGTAAGATTCCAAAATCCTTCCAGTCACTGACGATTGGCTGCTCTGAACCTCCCGCTTGGCGTGCGGTGAATTTTGCTCGACGTTGGGCAAATATTTATACCGCGCCCAGCGCGTGTCCTGACCGACGACTGTATGCAGAGCCTGATTGACTTCTTCTCAAAATTGCAGCGGGCTCAATTAAGTATCGCGGTCTCGGCGTCGTCCTGCGTCAACAGCAGTGTTCTGCACGGCCAGGGGGTCCGCTGTCGCCTTGTACCAAACAAGGCCATCGCTTTCTGATCCATGCATTCGCCGCAGGCTCGCTCCGACGTTCGACTCACGAAGCAAGATCGTCAAGCGGGATATCATCTGTCATCTGAAGCGCGCGTAAGTTGCGGAAAGCATTATACGTCGTGTCCTGTACGTCGTGCGTGCTATAACATCCCCGTCTCCATTCCAGCCCTGCCGTGTCCTCCTGCTAAGTACAATGCCACCAATGTCCGTGCGTCCCGCCACCAATATCCGTGCGTCTCGTCACAAAGCCCGCCACCCGTGCCCCATTTGCCGACACACGTATGACTGCCGACCGCTGCAACCCCCCGACCGCTGCAGCTCCCGACCGCTCCAACCTCCGCGACGTCCGTCCGCTCCAACCTGCGGGTGCCGTGCTCGCGACGCGTCGCACGCAGACTAGCTGCGCCCGGCGCGTTTGGGAAAATACGCGGGTCGCCCCGAATGTCGCCTCCCTGTCCCTCGTGCTCTCTTCGCTCGGTCTCTCGTGCTCCCTTCGCTCGGTGCCTTCGCGCCATCCCTCTCGTGCTGTCCCTTCGCACCCCCTTCTGATGCTGTCCTCCGTCCCCGTCCCCCACCGCCGCCAACGTCCACTCCGCGTCGATGGCGTCTATTCGTGTCCGTGAATATTATGGCCAAGGTCTCGTAAAGTGGATCGCGTACCAGAACCTATTGCGCGCCGTCATCCTCTGTGATCGTCCCTCCTCCGCACTCGTCGCCGAGTGGTACGACCCTCTCCCCCATTGCTTTTCGAAGCAGCTCCTCGATATCTGGGTCATCGCATTGCCAGACCCCACTTTTGAGAAAGAGATCGAGCGGTGTTTCACCATAGCTGTCGCAGACATTGGGGTCCGCACCGTGGTCGAGAAGTAGACGAATGCATTTTGCGTAGCCCTCCTCAGCAGCGATATGCAGAGGTGTTTGTCCGCGCGGGTTGGTGGCGTTTGGGTTAGCGCCTCGTATGAGGAGTAGCCGTGCGATGGACTCTCGGTTCTGTCGATATGCGCGAGGCATGAGGGCGGCGCAGTGGAGGGGCGTATAGACCATCTCATCAACGAAATTGGTGTCGGCCCCGCAGTCGATGAGCAAATGTACGATGTCGAGGTTGTCGCGTATCACATTGCGATGTAGTAGTTGGAGTGTACATGACCCCTGACACATTAGGTATCTGCCATCGTTGGTGTCGAGGAAGTCGATGATATGTTGTCTCAGATCAGGATACCGATGGAGACCCGCTGCGTTGGCGTAGTCTGTCCATAACTCCTTGGCACGGCAGTAGAGGGGATGCTGAATATCCTTTGCCGGGTTTGGAATCCTGCTGACTCCGACGGCGGAGAAGTATGTGAGGCACATGCGGGCAATGATGTAGTATGCACCGTTTTGGTAGAAAAAGCGACGCAGGTCTTCTGAATGTTGCAGATAATCGACGACAGCTTCGTACACTTTGTCACTACTTGCGTCGAGGAACGAAAGTGCACTACCTTCGGAGGATGAGGCGAGCGAAGACCACCGAAGCGAAGGATCGTAACGCGGCATCCACTCTGAATAGTCAAAAGACAGGAGCTCGGTGAATGCAGCCTTCGAAGGTCTAGTGAATATCAGCCATGCCAGCCGATAACGGTCCCTTCGCCGGTCCTTGGATAGAAAGTCTACTCGAGATGGGAAGCCCGTCTCACGCACATTGTCCACGAGCATGTCTAACCACTGCAGCACCTCAATGGGAGTTTTCGCGAGTTTCGCAATCCATATAACATCAATTTCGAACTGACGCACGCTAGGAAACTGTTCAGTCTCCATGTAAAGGCTATGTACATTCACTCACTCCGGAAAATTTCCTCGATATCTATCCAGAGTCCGTTGAACAACCATGGTGTCCTTGATTTGCGCTAGAGTGTTTCCTGGCATGACGACATTGTTAAGCATGAGATCCATTTCCCGCCGGATGAGGTCCGTGCACATGGGCAGTACTGTGGAGGAGAGACCAGGTGGGATTGGACATGGTGTCGTCGAGTTGAGGGAAATGAGAGCGGAGACATTGCTATGGCGAGAAAGGAGCTCGTAGAGGATGTCCACATGTTGAATATTCGACCCAGCCACTATGATGTATATGCGTCGAGGTGCGAGATCATCGATGAGATGATGGAGGAAGTCCATGATTTCGTCTTGAGAAAGTTTTGCTTCAAGCCGGCTTGTGTCGAACCAGGTGGGAGGGGTGTCAAAGTAGGAGAGTAGCTGATAAAGCAGAGGAAAGACCAGGTATTGCGGACGTCTGGGCTGCTCCTCGCACTCAAAGCGAAACACGATGACACATCGATGGCCAGGCGATGCGCAGCTTGCACTTAAGTCGGCCATTGCAGCTGACCTGTCATTGGCCAATTACGCCGATTAGTTTCCTTCACGGGCAGACACCAGCTTCACTGAGTGACTCACAAGATAGTCTCCATTCCAGACTGCACTAGTGAACCAGTCAGCATTGTAGAGAGGTTTTGTGGGCGCAAAGACATACCAGGGCCATATAGTGCAAGCAACTGGATTTGGCCCCTCTTAAGTGAAGAGAAGGGCAAACCGTCAAGAAACCATCTGGAAGTTCGCCGTACGCGGGTGTTCAGGTAGGAGCTGACGATAAGACGCCAGCCTATCCGGACCAGGGACCTCAGTTCGATCTCTGATACTACTTTGTGACATGTCAACTCCAATTTTTTCACATGCCCAAGTGAGGTTAGCGAGCACTCACGTCTCTGCGTCAGATCCTCCTGGCTCTGCAGGACAAGTCTTTGCATGTCTTCCAGAACACCGACATCGATCTGCGTATAATGCACAGCCGTGAACATAGCTGGGTGGGCGATCTCTGAATCAATCTCCCTCTCAGCAGATGTTATAACGGCTGACACTCGATGACGACTGACCGTACATCTGGCACTGCAACTGCATAAGCTGCATCTTCTGAGCTTCCTGCTCGCGACTTGTCGCTGAGATAGAGTCAGCAATCGCGCCCGGAACGAACACATATTATAACGAACCCGAGAAGCCACCCTCCAGCACCGTCGCATTCCGCTCCACGCCTTGCAAGGTCATCGCCGACATCGCCGTGTTGCTTGAGGGCCAAGACTTGCAACTTCGCCATCGCCGTCGCGACGTCCTTTTCCCGCACAATTTCTTGAAAAACCCCTCTATGCGCTCATCAGCGATCTGCGCCAGCGGAGAAGCGGGATCACATACTGAAGCGCCGATCCCTCTGAACCTTGTCACGACGCCGAGCACGACGAGGATGTGCGCAAGCAGCTCGACGGTGGGTCCGCGTAACTTCTTGTAGTAGCGCGAGCCCGTGATGGGCTCGATGAATTCCAGGTGGAATTTCATGGTGTCGAAGGCGTCGACGATGGCGTCGTAGTCGGCCTTCAGTTCATGGCCACCTGCACGTCAAGCCTATCAGCGTGGTCCCTCCTTTACAACGAAGGAAACGCACCTGTATCGCCACCTTGAACGCGGCAAAGATGGATTTGACGGGAGAGTAGGGCTGCCAACTCGTCAGACGCGATGCTCGAATATCGACAGCAATCCCGACGCACCACGTCACGGCCTCCCCAAGACAGTCGCACAGCGTGCTCACGACCGCCGCGATGGGCTCGATCCGCTCGCGAAGACGTTGTACCCGCTCATGCGAAATCGAGAGAAACTTTGTTCATTCTCCTGGATGTACTCGACGATCTTCTCCGCGGAGTCGAAGGCGGCAACGGCAGGATCCCGAAGCTCGATGCCCGTATCGTGCTGGTACTTGCGGATGGCGTCGAACCAGATGTCGACGAGGTGTTCTTGAGAGGCTGCAGAGTCAAGCCGGTGTTGAGAAGTGCTCCGAATCGCGACCTGGCTCAAAGACGGGTCCATGATGAGCGCGAGCGGTATCTTCGTCCAGGTGTCCGCGGGCGAGATGGAGGTTGCTGTCAAGGTGAGAAATGGTGTGCAACATCGCGGAAGCCTCATGTCAGACCTACACAGCATGAGCTCAGGCTGGAGATAGAGCGCGTTCCCACAGCCACAAATATTACGGTTGATCAGTTCTCGCATTGCCTTCCAGACGTTGAGACTGCTACAGCAGATGTATAGGTACTTTGTACGCAGACTTCGCAGCCTGCGCTGGTACGAAGAATCGCGAATCGGCAGTGCAAGGTACCGATGAAGCCAGCTTCATCTCACAGGAGCTGTGGTACGCTGTATCCGGTCGTCTGTACGATGTGTAAAATAGGAAGCGGAAGGCAAGCCTTTACCGCCAACTCACCCAGTCGCGTGGTGCGAAATGAAGATGTGGAAGACGCCGTTGTAACAAGAACCATCAAGCTGACGCGAGTTTGGCAGAAGGATACCAATCGAGGTGAAGCGAGAGTCCAGCATTAATTGTCCGATAAAGGCGTCCAGCTATTGATGAACTTGAAGAAGATGCAGCGGAAGTTTAAGCGTCGTCCG